AGGAATGTGGGAGGGGACTGGGAGAGGGGAGGCGGAGCCCTGCCATCCAGGAATGTGGGAGGGGACTGGGATGTAGGGGAGGCGGAGTCTGTTTCTTCCTGTTGTTCCGATTACCCAGAAAGCCTGTTCTTGAGAGTCCCTGCAAATTGTGAACCAGTTCCCTCCCCTTCCCCAGGGGGCTACTACCCCAGATCTGTATGAAGAAGCCCCCCGACCCCCGTCAGTGTGTCCTACTGTGAGGCTTGAGAAGTGCTGGAAGCTATGTGCCCGCTATGCGCAACTCCAGCAGGATGACCATGGTGGACAGGTTTCAGTGATGCTTCCAGACTAGGAAGAAAGACCTGGAGACCTACTCCTAAAAACCCTGTGTGTCCCCACAGAGCTGGAGAGGCGTCCCCAGGACTTAACAACAACTGTGCTTGGGGTGGGGGGAGCAAAACAGAGACGCAGGTGAGGAGTGGGGAGGAGAGGAAAGGTCACCCGTGAATTGGGTCCTGAACAAAGGATTGAGGCAGTCTCAGCCCTGGCTCCCTAAACATAGTCTTGTTTGGAAGTAGGGTCTTTGCAGATGCCATTGGGGCTCTGCTAACACAATGGTTAAAGTGCTGCGAACCACCAGGTTGGCAGTTAGAACCTACCAGCCGCTCCGAGGAGGAAAGATTTAACAGTGGGCATCCATGAAGATCACCGCCCTGGAAACCCTAGGAGCAGTTCTAGCTTGTCCTGTGTATGGGGTCACTATGGGTTGGATTCGACTCAATGGCAAGGACTAGGTGTTGTTGAGGTCACACTGCAGGGGTGGGTCCCCATCCCAGCCGACGGGTCTCATAGAAGACAAGGGTCGTAGACATCAAGGCTAACAGCACACCAAGTAACCACAAAAAGGAAGTGGCCCCTCCCCACCACACGCCCCGCCTGCCACCCCCACTTCCACCCTCCCACCATGGTGCGGGTGTGCGGGGGCCACACACACTCTGTGCTCACCCGCTCCGGGAGGCCAGCATCTTCAGCTTGTTCTCGGCAGTCAGGCTTACCACGACCCCTTCAACGCTCCTCAAGACCTTCCCTTGTGCAAAGCCCTTTTCCCGAGAGGCCACAGCCAGCACATACCAGGGCCCAAGAAGCTGGAAGGGGGTATGGGGTAAAAGGGCCTCAAGCCTTGAGGACGGTCTCAGCATCCATGAGCCCGGGCAGCTGACCGCCTGCTCCCCACGCCCGGCCCTTCCATGCAGCCCACAGCACCCAAAAGAGGGGCCCAGCCCCCCAGAACTGACCCACACCAGGAGAAAGCCAGTACCTGCTTGGGGTCCAGCCTTCCCAGCCACACAGTCTGAGCCCTGGGCACCAAGAGCAGAACCAGGAGAGGCACAGGCAGCGCAAACCTCATCCTCGCTGCTGCTCACACGCTGGCACACCTGCCCCACCACCACCCTGGAGCCCACTTTTATGGCTCTACGAGCTACATCGTGGGCGGCCACTAATGGCCTAGCTTCTTACAAGGCCATGAGGTGACCACAGGGGAAGCGTCCGCAGTATTGGTCTCGGGGGCCAGGTGCCCAGTCTGTCCTCAGTGAACAGGTAATGTGCTGATTGACACCAGGTACGCTGGTCCCTGCATCCTTCCATACTGGGGCCTCCAGCCAGATTGTTGGTCCTGGACTTCAGCTGCCCCCTCACGACACGGAGCCTGGAGGTGGGAGGGGCACCTCTGACTGCAGCCCCACCCCAGCCTGCCCACGGGCTGGTCTTGCTGTGCCTGTCCTCTTCCTCCACCTCCATCCTGTCCTGCCCGCATCCGCCACCCTAGTCTAGGTCCTCCCCCTTCTGCTACTACTCGACTGGCCTGGAAAGCTCGCCATCCCACGGGGGGGGGGGGGGGGCAGGGAAGGGGCAAGACTTGTCTCTCAAGGACCTGAGAGTCCTCTTCAGACCTGAGTCTGTTCACCTCCGGTCATCCAAGCCCAGGACTCATGACAACCTAGGAGGCAGAAGGTGGGGCTCAGTCCAGGGGTCCCCAGAAGCCCACATGAGGTAGCTGTCACCTGCACCTTCTGGATTCCTTCCTTCCTTCCTTTTTCTTTCCTTCCTTCTTTCCTTCCTTCCTTCCTTCCTTCCTTCCTTCCTTCCTTCCTTCATCCACCAAGTATTTTAGAGCCATTTCTACACACCACAGCTCTCAGCAAATGAACTCCATCTCGGCACAAATCCTCCCTCTGCGAGTCTATGGCCAGCCTCTCATGGACCCCACCCCTGCTCCCTGAGATCAACGGAGGGACAGATAGATACGCTGCCGTTTTTAAGTTTCATCAAGTCAGCTCCAATTTATAGCGATGGGGTTTGTCCTGTATAGGATTTGCAAGGAGCTGCTGATGAGTTCAAACCACTGGCCTGTGGTTCAAACTGACCTTGCAGTCCAGTGTTTACCCTACAGTTGCACACCAGAACACCATAGATATATAGGTGCATAGACAGACGATTGACAGATACATAGATTGATAGATGACAGACAGAAAGATATGTAGATAGATTATAGATACATAAATATAGATAGATAGATAGATAGATAGATAGATAGATAGATAGATAGAGGGCAGATAAATAGATGCATAGATATTGTTATGTGCCTTTGAGTTGATTACAATTCATAGCGACCCTGTATAGGGTTTCCGAGGATCAGCTGGTGAGTTTGAACTAACAACCTTATGGCTCACAGTCCAGTGCTTATCCACAGTACCACACCAGGAGTCATAGATAGGTACATAGATTGATACATACATAGATAAATAGATACATGGATACATAGATAGATAGATAGATAGATAGATAGATAGATAGATAGATAGACAGATAGATTGTTGTTGTTAGGTGCCATCGAGTTGGTGCCGACTCACAGCGACCTTATGCGCAATAGAACAAAACACTATCCGATCCTGGGCCAACCTCACTATCGTTGCCACGCTTAAGCCCATTGATGCTGCCACTTTGCCAATCCATCTCGCTGGGGTCTTCTTCTTTCTCTCTGACCCTCCACCTTGCTAAACATTATATCCTTCTCCAGCGACTGGTCCCTCCTGACAATATGTCTGGAGTATGAGAGACGAAGTGTGGCCATCTTAGCCTCCAAGGAGCACTCTAGCTGCACTTCTTCCAAAACGGATCTATTGGTTCTTTTGTTAGCCCATGGCACTTTCAATATTCTCCTCCAACACCATAACTCAAAAGCATCAATTCTTCTATGGTCTTCCTTATTTACTTTCACATGCATATGAGGTTATTATACAGATATATAGATAGAGATAGTAGATGGAAGGAAGGGAACACCCCAGCTCTGTCTGCTGAGATACAATGGCACCCCAGTAAAAGGGGGTGCACCCATCATTCAAATCTTCGTATCTCAACTCCATCTTCTAAATAGGAAACAAAGAGTCCATGAAAAATTATTCTAAGATGGAGGTAGGAGAAATATGAGGGAAACTTGGGAAAAAAAATTTGTTCCACAAAGGAAAACAGAGCTCAAAGAATTGTGGGAATAGGACAGAAAGGTGCAGGTACCATCTTGAAGGGGCTTCCACTGGACAAATCTGCATAGGTCTGCCCTTCAAATGAATGGTAGTAATCGATTACAAACCATGAAGAAAATCAAAACCCATGAGTCTGTGGGGATCGGAAGGAAGGAAGGAAGGAAGGAAGGAGGGAAGGAAGGAAAACTCACTGTCACAGGAAAATGCTTATCAACAGGCCTATTACTGGAGAGCAGACCCTGACTCATGGAGAGCCCATGGGCGTGAGAATAGAGTTGTGCCCCTAGGTTTCCAGGGGCTGGTTTTTCAGTAGAAGACCACCAGGCCTTTCTTCGTAGACACCTCTGGGAGAACTTCCCATCAGCAGCAGAGTATGTGGACCATTTGGTTTTATGACTCAACTGTGAATAATCATTAACAGGATTAATTGCGATTGTCACAGTCGTAATTGTAGAAGATGCATAACTAAAAGGCAGAGTACTTCATCTTTCATTTCAGGAGCAGACGGTCCCAGGACCCTCAAGAAGGAAGAGCATGAGTGGAGCGTGAGATCCTACCTAGAAAAGAGACGACAGCAGAGACGGTGGCAGAGGTGGAGGCATGGAGAGACAGAGCAGGTGCGGACTCGAGGCCCCTGGACTGAGCAAGGCTGTGTGCCTGCAGGCAGGAGGCTGGCTGGCAGAATGTGCCTTTTGAACATTTAAATGAATCTATATTTTTTGTTTTGTAAGTGTACATCAAATATTTTTGTCCTGTTCATTTGTGAAATATAAGATATAAATGGGTAACCACAGGGAGGAAAACAAATATTGTTGCAGGGAGGGGATTGTAATAATAATTAAAAAAAAGATTAAAAAATAAAAACTTATGTAAAATAGAGAAAGATGAACCACAAGCCAGGAAAGGCCACGGGTGACCAAGAAAGGTCTCTGGACAGAGATGGGAGCCCTGCCTTCACCCTGGTTTCAGACGCCCAGCCTACAGGGCTGTTGTTACATTGTTGTTAAGTGCCGTGGAGTCAATTTTGACTGTACAGGGTTTCTGAGGCTGTAAATCTTTTGTGGAATTAGAAAGTCTCATCTTTCTCTGGAGGAGCAACTGGTGGGCTTGAACCATCAACCTGTGGTTCACAGTCCTGTGCTTACCCTAGGATCCACTGCACTGTGGCTATGAGTGGGGACATTTCTGCTCTGTCTCAAGCCCCTTGTTTGTGGCACTCACAGAAAACACACCCCTTGTTGCCTGGGACACACCAACACCCCAGCCCTGTCTGTGTGCCCCAAGAAATGCATGCATGTGTCGGTTCAGCAGCTGTTTATTCAGGGTTTGTTGAGGTTTGTTTGGAGATGAGGGCAGGAATTCTGGGGTGTGCAGGGGTGAGGCTGTGGCTGTAGTCACTGCAACACAGGGGAGGGCGGGAGAGCGGGTCACAGGAGCTGAGACAGCCCTTCCACGCGGCCGGTCAGCGGTTTCAGGAGCGCATGGCCACAGCCCACTCCTGCAGCAGTTTCTCTTCTGCCCATCCACTGCCCCCACCCTGGCTCCAGCCCGAGACCCCCGTCTGCAGAAGTCCGGCAGGGGCAGCGGCAGCAGTGGTCTCAAGCTTGGTGGGAAGAGACGTCCCCCAGAGGAGCCTGAAGTGGGGCTCTTGAATCTGATACTTGTTTGCGGGGCAGTCCCCTCAGGAAGGACCAGCTGCTGTGCCCAGCTCCGTGGGGAGAGGGGGGCTGAGCATAGGGACACCAGGTAAAGGGAATAGCCTCTGTCTTCTGGGAGACTGTCAACAGGACCTGGGGGCTTCAACTCTGACACCCCCAGATCTCATCTTGTGGTCAGTTGCTGTGGTCAGAGGCAGAACCCAGAGGGACCATAGGGTGATTCACCCTCAGCAGGTTCCTCTGTTTCTGAGGCCACAGACAGAAAGTTTGGGTGCACTCCCTTGGCACCCCTGGGCCCCAGACTCAGCCCCCCACCATGTGAGATGGACAAAAAGGGAAGAGCCAAGTGCCCCCAGATGCCCAGCAGGCCCCAGATCCAGAATTGAGGGGCCCCAGGTAACAACAACTCACCGAGTTGAGCAAATTCACGCAGGTCACTGTGGAGGAGAGAGGGGGTGAGACAGGAAGGCAGGCCCTCACTAGGGCCCGGGGCGGGCAGGCACTCACGGTCCGTTCGGTCCAGTAAGTACACATCCTCCTTTGAGAACCCATTCGCTGCAGCCACCTCCTGGAACTTCTTTACGACCGTGTCATTCAAATCCAGGGTCCGGCCTGCGTGGGGCAGTGGAGGCTGAGGTAGCCGGGCCATGGCTCCTGCTTGGCCAGAGCTTGGGGATGGACCCAGGCTGCTGCAGCACCCAGGGACCTGTGGGTTCCCTCCAGCCCCTCTGAGGACTAAGGGGACTCCAGGACACGGGCCCTGGGCTTACTGTAGAGTTTCAAGACACTCTGGGTAGCCTCTCCCTTGTGCATCGTCATGTTCATGATGGCGCAGGTCTTGTAGTCCGTGAACAGCACACGGACACTCTTCTTCCCTGAAAGACGTACCATTGCTCAAAGTGTCTCTCCTGAGCATGATTCCACCTCACACACAGCACGTGTGCTCAGAGCCCACACACACACGGGCAAACACATGCACACTCCGCACGCACACATGACAGACATGCATGCACATACAAACATCCAGACAGACACACAAGTACAGCGTACTCACGCACACATCATACTCACACATGTCCAAACACTCATGCACATACATAGCACATATTTCACATGTGCACAAATATAGAGCTGTGCAAACCCATGCACCCACACCTCCAGCACTTGTACACAAACACACACACATGCACACAGCTCACTAAGTACACACACAGACACGGTTACACACAGCACACTACACACAGAAACGGTCATACACAGCATACTAAGTACACACACAGACACGGTTACATGCATGCACACAGCACTTACATGCAAATACACACAGCACATACACACAGAGTGGCCCTCTGGACTTCCTGAAAGCAGTCTCCCCAAGAATGGTGAGCAGGGAACCCCACCATATCTCCTGAATCTCAGAGAGGATGTTGTTGACCCCAGAGACAAAGGCTGGGGACTGGGACTAGGCCCGTGGGGCGGCTGCATGGATCTGAAGAGCTGCAGCCAGGGGCTCTGACCAGGGTCCCGCAGAGTCCCACAGCGTGAGGCAGGGAGGGAGAGGGAGGTCCGGCAGGTGGGTGCAGCCCTGCACCTCTCACCTGACTCTCTGGACACGATGTAGGTCCCCGGGTCGGTCCCCTGCAATGCCTGGTCATGCTCCTTGACACAGTTCCTCTGACTGGAAGACAGCAGATGTCCTACATCCAGGGCCGCCCCGGCCCCTCCTCGCCCACAAGAGAAACTACAGCACCCTGGGAGAGGACAGGGAGCGGGCAGGAGCCACCCCTCCACTTGAGGTGCAGGATGCTTCCCCCTCCAGGGGACCCACAGACAGAATTGGGATGGCCATGTGAGAGAGGAGGGTGCCGGCACATCAGGGGGCTGCCGTCCAAGCTCTGTGATCTAACCACCCCCAGGGAGGCTCGGGGACTTCCACAGCCTCAGGGACTTCCACAGCCTGCTGTCCCCGTGGTCACCTCTCTGTCCAGTGGTCACCTTTCTGTCCAGTGGGCATCTCTCTGTCCAGTCAGTGTCCTAAGCTTAGGGCTGAAGCCCAGGCCCCATTCCTGTCCCTGCTCACAGTTGGCCTTAGGCACTGGCCAGGTGCTGTCTGGAAGTGAGCTACCCCACACCCCTCTTCCCATGAAGCTGAGGACCCCAACCCGGCCAAAGGCTTGGGCAGCTCCTTGGGCAGGGGCTTCCCCGCTGGGCTGTGAGTACGTGGGTCCCCACTCACTGGTCAAAAACAGTGGTCAGCACCAGGGTCTTTCCTTGGGGTTGGACCAGCACAGCCCCCACCCGCTTCACCGTGTTGCCCGTGGGGTCATCGACCTTCAGCTTGGTTGCCATGGCGGACTCATACCAGAGGCCTGAGAACTAGGGGTACAGGGCTAGTGAGGCTGGGGAGGAGCTGGAAGGTCCCTGAAGTGGCCCCCACCTGCGATCTGCCCAGGACCCCCACTGCATCCCCACACCCTCTGCCGATGGAGAAGCACCTTCACAAGGTCAAAATCAGTGCCATTTAGATCCTTGTGTTCAGTGCTCTGGGCGTGGGCCACCAGCACCCCACAGAGCCCCAACAGCACAGCCAGAAGCCTGCCCTCCATGTCCTGAAGCCCCCAGGCTCACACCTGGCCACAGCCCTGGCTTTATATCCTTGGGGTGGGTGCTTGGCCAGGCAGCACTGCCATGCTCCGCTCCATTAAGCAGGCTTGGCAGCACACCACGTCCTGGCTTGGCCACCCCCGGATGGCAGGCTGTGGGCAGACCCTTGGGCATTCATGGGGCATTGTGTCCACCACTCTTGGGACTGGGAAGCCTGGGGGGGTTCTCAGGCCAGTGATGTGGACCTTGAGTCTGCGGGGGAGGGGGTCTGTGCGTGTGAGAAACACTGCAAGGGGACAAGGTAAAGCCAGGAATGAGCAAGGCCTGCAGGACCCCACATCTCAGGAGCCGGTTGGGTCTCTGAAGGACCTTGAGAGAGTGAGCTGGGAGAGGGGCTGTGAGGATGCCCCAGAGGCGCAGCAGCAGGGGTCTCAGACCACCAATGTCACTGCCTACTAACCACGGCCCGCCCCTGCTCCGGGCACCAGCACAGAGCCCCACCAGGCACCAAGGGGGCAGCAGAAGGGAAGGGAGAAAGGGACATGCTCAGCCCCCAGGGCCCAGGGCAGCTAGGGGAGGGGGGGGAGGGCCAGGGCCAGGCAGTGGGGTAAGAACGAGGAAGGAAGTTACGTGAGTGGAGAGTATCATGTGCCAGTCCTTCCTGCCCCGCTGACGTCCTCAGTCCTTTGAAGAAGCCATAATGGCCCTCCAGGGCACTCAGGGGAGGAAACTGAAGTGGGTTCAGTGAACCATCTCGGTAATCACAGGCACAGAGCCAAGCCTCCCACCCAGCTCTCTGTCCACAATGTGTCCCCTGAGCAGGGATGGTGACCCCCAGCACTCTGATCTTGGAAAGAGCTAGGCTCAGGTAAGCTGCAGTATACAGGTAGATAATGATCCAAGGGAGTAGGGGGAAGGGAGAGACATAGAGGGAAAGGCAGGGGGAAGGAGGGAGAGAGAAATGCAGGTAGACAGAGAAACAGACAGAAGGGATTGAGATAAGAAAGCGATAGATGATAGAATATATAAGAGATGGATAGACGGGTATTCAGAGGTGGGAGGGTGGATGGATGGACAGACATGGGGATGGGTGGATGAGTGGACAGATGGACAAATTGGTGGGTGGGTGGGTGGATGGATGGATGGATGGATACATGAATGAACATGTGGGTGGGTGAATGAGCGGACAGGTGAATAAGCAGACAAGTGGGTGGACGGGTGGATAGATAGACAGACAGACAGGTGGGTGGATGGGTAGACAGGTGGTAGATGGGTAGACAGGTGGTAGACAGGTGGAGAGCGAAAGCAGGCTCCCACATGGGAAACGTAAGGTACTGCTGAGGCCATAGCACCCAGGGGGAGAGAGCACGGGGCAGACTGTGACCAGGACTCAGGGACTCCTTCCTAAGAGCAGGGGCAGCAAGGGTCTCACTGGAGGCGGACTGTGGTGGGCAGCCTGTTCTGTGTCTGCCCTGCTCCCCACCCAGTACAGATGGTCTCTGGGTGGGAAAAGGGTCACCCACTCTCAGACCCCAGGCCTGCCTAAGCAGGGTTACAGAGTCCATGGCATCCCCGGTGCTCTCACCAAGCTGACCTTACCACACACACCACACACACACAATAACATATCTAAGTACTGACCATTTGTTGGTGAGCACCATGGAGTTGGTTCCAACCCATAGCGACCCTGAACAGCGTTTCCGAGGCTGTAAATCTTTATGGGAGCAGAAAGCCTCATCTTTCTCCTGTGGAGCAGCTGGTAGTTTCGAACTGATGACCTTGCGGTTCGCAGCCCGATTTGTAACCACTACGCTACCAGAGCTCCTTAAGTCCTGACCATAGAACAGGTGATGGCCCTTCCTTGTCAAAGGGGCCCTTGCAGACATAATAAAAGTAACCACTTCAGGCAGGGTCACCCGGGATTAGTGTCAACTGTTGTCAAGCGGATCCTGACTCACATGGACTTGCATGCACAGAGAACGGCTCTGCAGGTTGTGAGTTTTCGGAAACAGATCACCAGCCCTTTCTTCCAAGGTGCCCACCTTTAGACTTGTAGTTGACACTTTGCACCACACTGGTGTGGGTGGGCCCTAATGACAGTGTCCTTACAGGAGACAGACAAAAGGAGACAGCAGGTAACGATGGAGGCGGAGGTTGGAGAGATGCAGCCGCAAGCCATGGAACATTGGAACCACCAAAGCTGGAATCGACAGGCAGGACCCTATCCTAGAAGCCCTATTTGTGGTCCTTTGCTTAATGGGGAGGAGGGCATAGACACACTGTGCTATCGAAGTGAATCTCAAGAGGTCCCGGCTGGGGGCCCCTCACTTGCCCACCAGGAAGACCAACAAGGCATGGTGTTTGGCAGCAGTGGTTTATTCGGAGCTCAGCAGACCCTCTGTTGGTGCACGCAGCCCTCGCCAGGGGGAGTCCAGGGGGAATCCAGTGGGCAGGATTCTGGGGGTGACACTCCCCTAGATCAGCTCCTGCAGCAGGAAAGGGGCTCAGGCCTAGGGCGACCCTGTGAGGCGGGGTTAGGCGCACGCTCCGGGGTGGGTGCTTGCAAACCCTGAACACATTTCACTGTCTACAGCATGCGGTCACAGAGCCACCACCCAGGGCCGTGTTGGGTCCACGCACTGTCATGAGCAGGGTCCCAGGATGCCCACCTCCGAGTCTGTGGGGCCACCCCTCTTCCTGTCTCATCTCCGAGTCTCACCAAACCAGGAAGCAGACACGCCCCTAGTTTCACCTGTCTGTAGGTTTGTCCCATGTAGCAGAAGGGGCAAAGGGCCCCTCCCACCCCAGGGCCAGGCCCCACACTCACCTCCTTCAGGAGCTGGGCACAGTTCCCTGCAGGGCGAGGGTGGGAGAAGTGTGAGGGTGACCAGGACAGCCTCACTCCCACCCTGAGACCCCAGAGCCTACCTTTACGGGCCGCCAGGTACAGCCCAGTGTCTGCCGTCAGCTCTCGGAACTTCCAGAAACCGGGTTCATTGATGTCCTCAAGGCTGCGGCCTGTGGACAGAGGCAGCTGGGTCTGTGGGCGGCGGAGAGCAGGCTGGGGTGCCCCTGCCCCCGTCAGCTTACTGAAGTACTTGAGCACCCCGAAGTCGCGGCCCCTCCAGTGCAGGGACAGCCTCAGAATAGCATAGTGTTCATAATCCGTGTCGAGAACGTGGAGCTCCCGGCGGCCTGGACCACACCCCAAGGGGACGCCAACCTCAAGGCCAGCCTGCAGAGACCGACCCCACCCTCACCACCCGAGCCCAGGCCCCTCCTGATGCCCAGGCTGAGGGGGACCTCAGGTTCCAAGCATAGCCCAGCACAGTTGCGACACCCAGGGGTGGCTGTCTGCCGTGGGTGGAGGCAGAGCTTGAACTGCTCCACACACACCCATGAGGTTCTGGAGTCTGGGGCTCAGGTGGCCCTTGAAGGGTGACCAGTGTGTGGATGGGTGGCGAGAGGAGGGTCTGGAGTTCTTACCAGGAAAAACAAATTTCCCTGAAACGTCCATTTCTGAGCCCACGACTTTCTCGGTCTCGCAGTTTCCGGAGCTGAAAGGCAGCAAGCATGCATTAGGAGAGGAGGTCTTGGGAAAGGACACTGGCCACACCCTGGGGAGAACCAGGGTGGGAGGGGGTGAGATGCAGAGCCGGCCCACTCCCCACCTGTCCACCAGGGGGCTCGTGGTCTTCAGGGAACCACTGCCCCCAGCCCAACTTCCTGGCTTATAGAATGTTGTTAAGTGCCACGGAGTTGATTCCAACTCACAGTGACCCTGTATAGAGCTGCTGCTGAGTTTGAACCACCCACCCTTTGGACCAGTGCTTATCCTACAGTACCACACCAGGAATCCAGAATGATGGGGTGCTTATGTTCCTTTTATTGAAAGAAAAGATCATTTCAGATTTTTTTCTGGCAGAACTAGGAGTCAGAAGTTTGGCTTTCCTGATGAGTCTGGCTTCGCAGCAAGCATAGGGAGGGCTGGTCCTCTTCACTGGTTTACAAAACCTGAGTGTGGACATTATCCATCCATCCCCCTGGAAATAGGTCATGGCCCATCACCCCCCACAGTGAGGCGAAGACACCACAAGAAGGTGGCAGCTGGACACCTACACACACCTGCCCGTGCCTGGACACTGGTCCCAAACACAGTTCCCTCATAGGCTCCTGGCCCCTTACTTGTTGTACACGACCTTCACGGTCAGGTTGGAGCCGTTGGAGGTCAGGAACAAGCCTTCCAGTCGCTTCGGGGTGTTGAGAGCCAGGTTGTAGTCTGAGGCCACACCTACTTCCCGCCAGAAGCCTGCTATCTAGAGGTGAGGGGAGCAGCCGCCAGAGACCCCGCTTGGCAGGCACTTGCTGCACTTTGCAAGGTGACAGGGGCCACGAAGCAGCAAGAGGGTCTGTCGCCCTCTCAGTAGGACAGACGGTGTAGCCCCTCCCCACCCAACTCCATCCTCACCCAGAGGTGGGGACATCGGGGTCTCCTTGGGGTCAGGATGAAGGGAAGGATGAAGTGAGCCGGAAGGGGTGTTACCACAGCCTGTCCCCAGCAGGCTCCACTCTGCCCAGCCCTGGGGACAGCCCCATGGGGAACTTCTGTCTAGAACGTTTGGGAGTGGGTCAGTTGGAGTTGATAAGAACTGTGACACCGTATCCTCTCTGGGCTTCCATGCCCGGCCCAGCTGAGAGCCCGGACTTACGAAGCGCCCACAGGAAAAGTCAGTGGAATGGAAGCCCCAGGTGCCCCAGCTCCCAAGCTCCCCCCACACCCTGGGAGCCTCTGCTAGTCCCCACAGTACACTAGGGTGGGGAGAGGGGGCATAGGACGAAGCCCATCCAACTCAGGGGCTTCCTGGACCCTGGACACCCAGAGGACCACCCAGCCTGCCACCCGTGACCTTCAGTGCGGCTAAGCCCCTGCCCTCCTGGGGTTCCTGTTCACACCCTACAGGGAGGCTCAGTACCCCCAGGACTTTAGCCAGCTGCCTTCATCCAGACAGGGAAGGAACTGGACACCCCAGCCGAGAGGGAAAGGCTACCTTCTCTCTGTCCAGGTCTAGCTGTAGAAGCAGCCCCACTTGCATCTGGAGCCCCAGAACCACAGCGCCCAGGACGGTGGTCAGCAGCCTGGCACCCATCTCCCTACACATCCTCCGAGCAGTGTGGGTCCAGGTCTGGGTTCTGCACGCCTCCTTCCCGCAGCCCTGGGTTATATTTTGGAGAGGGAGTATTATGCAATCAACATGAGGACGTCACCGGACAAACTTGGTGCTGACCACTTCTACAGGGACACCCACCCCCACCCCAGAGGCACCACCCACTTCTGCAGGGACACCCACACCCACCCCAGAGGCACCACCCACTTCTGCAGGGACACCCATACTCAGGAGGGGATGCACTGGGTGGTAATGGATGCTGCAGTGAGGCCTAGGGGACTCAGGGGCCTGGGAGCAAGAGGGTGAGGACGACTGGACAGGAGCTGGTGCTAATTCCAAGGGGCAGTGCGCCCTTCAGGGGCCACCAGCATGGGCCAGCCTCCTCCTCTGCCTGGTACACTCCCCAGCTCACCGGCAGCCACGGACGCTCACATGCCACCTGCTGTCTCCTACACCCACTCGGTCTACAGGGGGGCCTCCAAAAGTTCGTGGGAAAATTCCAGTATCTTTTCATTTCATTTTTGGTGAACTTTTTGAAGTCCTGTCAGACATGCACTCATAGCACACACATGAACACACTCACACAGACAAGCATGTTCTCAAATGCACACGTGTGTGCTCTTGTACACTCACACAGACAGGCATGTTCTGGGACACACTGAGGGCCTGTGTCTGACCCTCCAGACCTTTCCCTGAGGCCTGGGTTTCAGCTGAAGATGAACTGGGCACCTGGTCAAGAAGCTCTGCTTCTGGTGGGGCTTTGGGGGGGGGGGGCTAACATTGGGGACCTTTCAGGGGTCGAGGGTCACCTGGGGGCCATGAGCAGTGAATCAGCCAGGGAGGGCCATGGGCCCCACAGCATCCCTGCCATGGTCAGCACCCAGTCCTGTGAAACACACCTGAAGAAGCTCAAGGCATGGTCAGCAGAGGCCTCGGTCCCCTCTTCTCATGGCTGTGTGCTCAAAACCCTCGGGGTCAGGCAGGGTGGGGGTAGAATGGGAGCAGAGGGGTGGGGTCCATGAACCAGCAGACCCTGCTGCAAGCTGACCAGCCAGGGTCCCTCAAGGTTATCAAGGGAGGACAGGAAGTGTGGGGACACTCAGTGTCTGGGGACCGGACAGGATGAGGAAGACTCCCCTCAGGGTTGGCTGCTCCTGGCCTGGCCCCAGGCCTCCCACGCTTTCCTCCTCTGCCAGACTGGCCCTTTGAAATGGAATTACCAAAACCAGGGCAGTGGGGGAGAGGGGGCACAGTGTCAGGGACAAGGCCACCACTATGTCATCCTCACCCAGCTGTAGGTTTGTTCCCGAGACCTCTCGGTGCCTGTCTCCTCATCTGAGGAAGGAGGGCAGCCGCAGTGCCCTCCCTGAGTTTCTGGCGCTTTGGGGTCTGCACAGAGTCCTGGAAGGAAGAGACCACATGAGTGGCCATTCTCTGACCCAGGAGACTTGAGAGCAGGGACACTGACAGACAGGCACGTGGACATCAGGATCCACAGCACCATTGTCCACAGCGCCAAGAGATGGAAACCAGCCAGTGTCCACCTGCAGTAGTGGTCCTGCCGTACAGCGGAGTGAAGCCCATCACAGCACACAGGCACCTCAAAGACGTAAAGCTGACTGAGCTAATCAGGCACAAGAGGAGACGTATTGTCTGATCGCACTTAGAGGAAAAATCTAGAACATTCCATACAGGCGGGACAGGCAGGTTAAAAAGGAAATAGGTCAAAAAATTTTTAAATCTGGAGTTACGTCACAACGACCAACAGTGGCATCTTGAAAGTTCTCAGGAAGAAGAGTGAAAAGGGAAGCCCAGTTCCTGATCACATCTACCTGGAGGCATTCAGAAAACATAAAAAATACCAAAATGCACACCCATCTAAGTATTAAGGCCACAGATAATCCCTGAAGATGCCCAAAAAATAGAAGCAGACGACCATATATCAGCATATTCCAGAAACGAGATAAAGTGACTGAGGCAAATGAGCTGGACGTAGACCTACACTCCATACTGGAAGATGGGCAGGCTTTGGAAATACCGGAGAAGGAATTCCCAAAAATGATTATAAAATGTATCAAAACACTATACACTGCAGTTGAGACAAATAGGGGAGAAGTCAGGAAAGCGCTATAGGAACAATCCAATAAGCTAGATACAACATTGGAACATTCCATACAAGGTGCGTCTGTGGGCACTGGGGGCTGAAGGAGACAGTGATGGTGTGCAACATGAGGGGTGTGCCTTAACATCCCTGAACTGTACACTTAGTAAGAGTGAAAACCGAGTGGACAGAGCTGGACCACAGCCCTTCTGGTGTGCACAGGGTTGCTGTGACCTGGAAGTGACTCAAAGGCTCCTAACCAACATTTTACCATAAATCATTGATCAGTTAACAAAACCTCACACTAGTTCTCCCTACAGACTCATGATGCCTGCCTCCTCCAACGTCTGCACAGAGGGTCACAGTGCACCCCACGGAGACCGTGCTAGGGACCGGCCTTTTCTGGGTGCGTTGGTCTCCCCGAAGGTGCTACCACTGATGGGGACCAGGCAGTGGTGGCTCGTCCCTACCTTCAGTCTAGATCCCAGTGTGCAGAGCTCGGCTGCAGCCCCCAGCCCCCACAACCACGTCCCACCCTGCCTCGTCTCCCCAGGAGTCTTGGACAGCATGACCTCTACAATCCTGAGGCCATTACTGTGGGTTGAAGTATGTCCCCAAAATGTGCCGTGAACCCTAACCTCTATGTCTTTGGCCCCAAGGAGTAAGCATTGGCGTGCTAACCAAAAGGACAGCAGTTCAAATCTACTAGCAGCTCCAAGGGAGAAAGATGAAGATGTCTGTTCTTGTAAAGATGACACCCTTGGAGACTCTCAGGGGCAGCTCTCCTCTGTCCTATAGGGTCACTCTGTTTGCCGGCAGTGGCTTTAAGCCTGTGGTTAGAATCCCACTTGGGAGCGTGTTCTGTTCCATGAATGGGCCAGAGTCAACAAGCAAGCTGAGGAGAAGTGGAACAGGGTAGATGTGGACCTACATGGAGCTCTCCAAGGTACCAGGAAGAGACAAGGACCCCTCCAGAGCCAACAGAGAAAGCCTTCCCCTAGAGTTGGTACTAGGAATTCAGACTTCCAACCTCCTCAACTGTGAGGAAATATGTTTCTGTTTGTGGAATCCGCCCCCTTATGGAATTTCTACAATAGTAGCACCAGGGAACAAAGACCAGACCAGGCTGCAAAAGCTGTTTATTGGGTGAAAGGGAGAAGTTCCAGAGTGGGAGTGGCCAGAAAGGGAGGGAAGGAGCCACCCAAGGCTTGGCAGCGAGGTAACTGTATTGTCTCTTCAGAGACCCCTTGTTCTCGGGTGATGAAACCTATGCAGACAGGGAAGCCCATGGGGACACCACCCCGTCACTCCACACACATTTCTAGGGTGCCCTGACCTACTCGGCCTGCTGCATCTGCAAGGCAGCCCCACTTCAGGCTTCCCCCACACAGCCCATGTCAACAGCACTGGCCCCCAAACTTCTGTGAACACACAAATGGGTCATCAGGCAGAACAGTGGGGGTCCGGGAAGGACTGGGAGGCAGAAGTGGTGGGCAACCAAGAGGGTGGAGAACACAGGTGGGGGGCACGCAGGAGCAGAGTGGAGAAACTGGACAAAGAGAGGACTGGGGTCAGGGAACTCAGGAGGTGGGGGCCCCAGGGAAACTGTATGAGGCCAGGGCCAAGGACCTCAGCAGTGGGAGAGAGAGAGAGAGCGGGTGCAGGTAGCCCGGCAAGGCCTCTTGAGGAGGGGGCCAAGGTGTAGGAAGGGCCCAGTTGTGGCCTGAAGGGTCAGGGTGCCTCCTTGCCTCCCGAGGAGCAGGCAGCTGTGGAAAAAATGGTGCTCACTGTCTGCCCATCTTCTGGGTGGCCAGAGGGCCAGGCAGGGGTGGCCAGGGAACAGTGGGGCCGACAGACCCTCCCACCCCTCAATGCCTACACCCTCTTTCTTGGGTGGGGGGGTTTGCATGGGTCAGGACCCCCATTTTGAGTGACTCTAGCATGGACGACAGGTGGACTGGGTGGTACCTGATTTGGGTAGCGTCACTGCCATGTCGTCCGGGAGCCCCACCTTGGGGTAGAAGTCCTGGAAGGCCTTCGTGGCCTCGGGGCTCACGTCCTGAGTCCGGCCTGGGCAGAGCAGGGTGTCTGTGAACCAGGAGTCCACAGGGGCTGGGCCAGACACCAGGGTCCCGGGACTGGCTTGACCGGATAGAGCGGAGCACCGGCCTGGCCAGCAGAGGGCGCCCGTTCCGGGATCCGCAAGGCCCAGTGGGCCATACCTCCGTGGTCACTCACCCTACCGGGGGGAGCCCCTGGACGCTCAGCTGGGTCTCTGGCCTCGGGGTTAACCGCTGTGAAGGCCAGGGAGGGACGTACCCTCTGCGACCACACCCCTCTTAGGGTCGGCCATTCCCCCCATATGCCCACCCACACTAGTCTTTGTGGCCCAACGTCTGAGAGTGTGGTCTGATTGGAGCGGGTATAGGGCACCAGAGAACCAGGGCAAGTGGGATAGAAGGAGCTGCGGGGAGGGGAAGGGCTTAGATGGAGGAGGGTGGGATCGGCTGCCTAAATTGTTTTTTAAATAGCTGTAGCGTCGAATCCGCCTCTCCATGGTCCTATAGGGCAGACCGGAAGTGTCCCACTGGGTTTCCAAGGCTGGAATCTTACTCCGGCCACTCCGACCACGTGACCTACTGTGGGTGTGGCTGTCATGCCACCTGTATTCCAAATACCAGCAGGGTCACCCAGGGTGGACAGTGGGGCTTTCTGACTGAGACAAACTAGGAAACATGGATTCAGTCCTCTCCTGAGGGATCTGCCCCTGAACACCTAGTGAACACTGTGTTGGAGGAGAAGACAGAACGTGCCATGGACGGCCTGAGGAGCAAACAAATCTGTCTTGGGAGAAGTGCAGCCAGACTGTTCTCTGGAAGCCAGGATGGTGAGATTTTTGTGGACATGTCCTCAGGAGGGATTAGTCTCTGGAAAGGACATCATGCTTAGTAAAGTACAAGGTCAACAAAAAAGAAGTCTCCCAATGGACAGACATGGCCGCAGCAACAGTGGACCCAACCATACAGACTGTGAGGACAGTACAGGAGCGGGCAGGGTAGGAAGCAACTTGATGGCCCCTAACAACACTGGTGGCTCAGTGATTAAGCACTTGGCTGTTCATTGAAAGGTTGATAGTTCCAACCCACCAGCAGCTCTGCAGATCCTGCACGGATTTGGTCTCAGGAACCCTAAGGAGAGGTTCTGCTCTGCCCTACAGGGGCGCTATACTTTGAATCAACTTGAAGCAGTAATTTAGGGTTTTTTTCGTTTTTAAGGAACCCTGGTGACACTGTAGGATAAGCATTGAACTGCTAAATACACGGTCAGCAGTTCAAACCCACCAGCCACTCCTCAGAAACCCAATATAGTAGGGGTTGTTGTTGTTGTTGTTGTTAAGGGCCGTCGAGTCAGTTCTGACCCATAGCGACCCTGTATAGAGTTTCCAAGGAGCAGCTGGTGAGCTTGAACCGCCGACCTTGCAGCTCAAATGGCTTTGCAGTCTGGTGCATTAACCCACAGCGCCACACCAGGACTCCAGAGCTCCTTGTTGTTGTTGTTGTTATGTGCCGTGGAGTCGGTTCCGACTCATAGCGACCCTGTACAGGGTTTCCGAGGCTGTAAATCTTTACGGGAGCAGAAAGCCTCATCTTTCTCCCTCGGAACAGCTGGTAGTTTCGAACTGCTGACCCTGAGGTTCGCAGCCTGATTCACATGGGGACTGTGAAATCATTTGGTCTGGTCCTGCCATCACCTTAGGGATGAGTCAATGAACTGTTTGACCATGTATCACCTGCTCACTTTTAAGTTGATAGTTTTGTATGGCCTGTAAATGATGAACAAAGGTTCCCCACCCCTGCTATACTTCTGCAGGAGAAAGATAAGGCTTTTTGCTCCCCTAAAGATTTACAGCCTTGGAAACCCTGAGCAGGTTTGCTATGAGTCAGGATTGACTCAACAGTACTTAACAACAACAAAAGAAAGTGAGTCACGGAGGCCTGTGGGTTTAGGCACTGGGTTGTTAATGGCCCGGTTCACCGTTTAAACCTACCAGCTGTTCCATGGGAGAAAGCTGAGACTTCCCCGAAAGATGCACAGTCTCAAAGCCCCTATCTAGGCTCTCTCCGAGTCAGAGTCTACTGGAAGGCAGTGGGTATCATTTGGTTTGGAAGGAGAGGGTGGGAGGAGTGGAGAAGGAGCAGGGCCTAGAGGGGTCACCAGAGGGGAGGGGTAGGGTGGGTGGGCACTCACTGAACAGCTGTACCAGGGTGCTTAGTGCCCCCTCCAGCTCCTTATAGATGTAAACCACCGCAAAGGAGCTGTAGTCTGTGTCTGAGATCCGCACGTCCAGGTAGCCCAAGGCTGCAAAGGAGGTGACCCACTGTGAAACTGGGCAGGGACAGGGTCCCAGACACAGACCCCTCCCAAGGGGCAGGGATGGGGTGGGCTCCCAGGGGCAGAAGGACAAGCCCACAGCTCCCTTTAGGAAGCAGCTCTGCAGAGGGTGGGTCGGACCTACCTGGGACCCTGAAGTGCCCGGCAGAGCCCACCCTCAGGTAGTCTACATCCACCTGGCTGCAGTTGTCGGCCCTGGAACACACAGCCGGGCCTCACCTTTAGTTCCCCCAGCCCCTCCACTCACCCACCGCCCTCAGCCCAGCCTCCACTCACTGAGGAAGCTCCATGTGGACATGGAGGTGACCCTCCTCAGTGGCCTCGATGGTCTGAGTGGACATCAGCAGGTGGTCCTTCTCGCTTAGGAAGGCCTTGCAGTCGGACACCATGGCTACCACATACCAGAGACCTGAGAACTGGGAAGACACAAGGACAAGCTGGCCCTCTCCCTGCCCAAGGAAACCGTGGTGGGCAGACCCCCAACACTCAGAGGAACCAGGGTTGTCTAAAAATCACGTAACATGGGCTCTCTGGAGTGTCCACCTCCTGGGCAGACCGCCTCCAGCCATCTTGAGGCCACTTCCCACGATACGCATGACCCCACAACACACACCCAGTGGTGTTACAGAATGGATCTAAAGTGTTTTCCCAGCACCGGGCCCAGAGCTGGGTGTTACTTCTGGCAGGGGCTCAGTTCACTCCACCCGCCCCGCAGAACAGCAGGGAGCCTCAAGTACATTTTGAGCATTAAAATCTGGCTGTAGCAGGACCTCAGCCCGAGCCTCGGACATCCAGAGAAGGGCCAGAAGGAGGCCCAGCAGGGTCAGGGTGAACTTCATTCCCATGTCTACCCTCAGCCCACCCCAGTCACCAACTTTATAGCCCAGCCCAGCCACCGGCTCACTGGAGGAGCAGGTTGGGGGGGAGGGGGCCGGAAGCCCCAGCCTCCATCTGTCCACCATCCAGCACAATTGTTCCTTGTTCCCTGGCGGCCCCTGGGTCATTTTTGGCAGGACTCCAGCCAGCAGGCACGTACCTGACACACTGGCTGGGGGTCTGGCACCCGGGGCATACAAGCATGTCAGCAGCCATGGAGGTCCCTCAGGGCCAGCATGAGCAATGGCAGATCCCTCCACAGCCCAGGGGGACTCGAACCCTCAGCACCTCCATCCACTCTCAGGGTCTGGCTGGGGCTGGGAGACACAATCAAGCTCTGCTCACTTTGGCTAACAGGCCCCTCTGGGTGGTCACTGACCAGCTGTGTCCTTACTCCCTCATCCTAGACTGGGGGTACTGGCCACCACTGTCCAGAAGCAAATCAGAGGCCTGGCTACCCCTCCCTGCAGAGCCCCACTGTCTGCCCCGGTCACCAGCTGGGCTCCCAGCAGGCATGTCCAGGCCAGGGGGGCTGAGCCCTGCACTTGGGAGATTATGGTCCGGACACCCCTTATCACTGGTTGCATAAGTGTGCTCGGCGGGCTGACGCCAGGGAGGCACTGTGGCAGGAGAAGCAGCCAGGCTTACCCCCACCAAGAGACAGCACAGTGACCGGCCCTCCAGCCAGTCCTCCGGGGTGGACAGGGTCCAGGGTCACAGTGCTCAGACCCAGAAGGGAAGGAGAGGACAGGATCTGCTTGCTGCCTCCCTGTGCCCACAATCCCCACCAAGCTCCCAAAGTCACCAGCTGGAGAAAGAAGGAGCTTTCCCAGTGGATGTTTGCAGAAGGCATGTCTGACAACGCGCTCACACCCAGAACCTGTAAAGAATTCTCAAGACATGATGATAAGAAACAAGCTCCCCAATGAAACACGGGTTTCAGAAGACGAGACACAGATGGAAGGTAAATGTGTGGAAGACAGCCAGCATCATCGATCACTGTGGAAATGTCCGTTAAAAGCTAACTACCCACAGCACCCCAATGCCATCAAGTCAATTCTGACAAAGCACAAGGCCCCCGGGAGGCTTTCCAAAGCTGACATCTTTACAGAAGCTGGCTCCTGTCTCTCCCTCAGAGAGGATGGTGGGTTCCAGCCACCGACCTCTCGGTTCGCAACGGAGCACCTTAACTGTTGTGATACCAAGGCTCCTAGTAGAAGCAGTGGTGTCACCAGGGGGCACAGGGGTACAGATCACACTGGGTGTAATGTCTAAATGACTGTCTAAAATTATTCTGCAGTGTTAATAACAGTATCCCTGTAGTTATTTGCAACAAAAGCATTTCATCCACTCAGCATACATGTATCAATATATCTGTAAGGCTAAAACTCTATGCTCATTTACTTTAAAAAAACACAATTTTTATTGTGAATTGAGGGAAGGTTTACAGAGCAGAACATCAGGTTAACATTCAGTAAATTATAGACTTTGCTTCATTACAATGGCTGCGAATCCCCTCCATGTACCATCAGTTCACAGCATTTACCTCAGTTCATTTGCATTTCTGTCTGTGTCTCCGGCTGGCTACCTTCGTCTTTCCTCTGCTAAGCTCCCTCTCTTTGTGTATTGGCTGCCCGGTCACCCCTGTCATCATTTTCATTCCCTGCCTCGCCCTCAACCACCATAGACTGTTTCTTGTATCAGGAAAATTTTTTCATAACTTTTTACAACATTGGTCTCACACAATATTTGTCCTTTTGTGATTAACTAATTTCACTCAGCATAATGCCCTTGTTGTGAGGTGTTCTGCAGACTCCTCGTTAATCTTCAACATTACACAGTATTCCATTGTGTAACCATTCTTCTACTGATTAGCATTTAGACTGTTTCCATAACTTTTATTATGTGTGTTTGTAAACAGCATATTGAAGGATCCTGGCTTTTTAAATCCATTCTGCTGCCCTCTGTCTCTTGACTAGTGCATTTAATCCATTTATACGTAATTATTGACGGATATCAATTATTTGTCATTTTACTGTATGGTGTGTGTGTGTGTGTGTGTGTGTGTGTGTGTGTGTGTGTGTGTGGTACTGGGGATTCTTTGTTCCACATAAGTTTCTGTGCCGAGTTCATTCTGTTAGTGACTTTTCATTTTAATTTCTGTTGTGCTAATGTTTACGAAATCTTTCTGATTCTCCTCTTTATTTTGATATAATGTTGTATTTATTTTCTTAGTGGCTACCCTGGAATTTACTTTTTTTCCCCCCATTTGAAACTGTCTATTTTATCTTAAGATCTACTGACCTCCTCGCCATTTGGAAGTTCTGTATCTACACAAGTCCTTTATGCTTTGCGGTTGACTTCATTATAAATTGATGTCTCTGGTTCCCTATTTTCAGTCTTGTAAGTTTGTTTTACTTTAAATACTTCTATCTATTCTTTGTGTGATTCTGTAGGATAAATCCTGACCACAAGATCAGTTTGCACCACAAGGTTGGCGGTTCAAGCCCACCAGTCGCTCCTCAGAGACCCTATAAGACTCGACAGCACTTCACACCAACACGACCTGGTTGAGTTGGTGCCGCTGTTGTCATGTATGTTGTCGTGTATGTTGTCATGGGTGTTGTCATGTGTATGTTGTCATGTACGTTGTCGTGTGTTGTTGTGTGTTGTTGTGTGTTGTCGTGTGTTGTCGTGTGTTATCGTGTGTTGTCGTGTATGTTGTCGTGTACGTTGTCGTGTACGTTGTCGTGTGTGTTGTCGTGTATGTTGTCATGTATGTTGTCGTGTGTTGTCATGTATGTTGTCGTGTGTTGTTGTGTGTTGTTGTGTGCGTTGTCGTGTACGTTGTCATGTATGTTGTCGTGTATGTTGTCGTGTATGTTGGTCTCAGACTGTTGGCTGCTGCTGCTGGTTCAGTCCCATCCTTCAGTATTTTTTGCAGAGTTGGTCTTGTTATTACAAATGTCTTTCATTTCTGTTTATCTAGAAATGTCCTAATATTTGAGGCGCAGCTTTGCTGGGTATCTGATTCTTGGTTGGCAATATTTTTCTTTCAGAGTTTGTATATGTCATCCCATTGCCTTTCTGCCTGCGTGGTTCTCCTTCGTAGGTAACGTCATTTTTTTCCAAGCTACTCTCAGGATTCTTTCCTTGTCTTTGGTTTGGGAAAGTTAATGATATTCCTTGGTGATTTTATTTTGGGATCTATCCTGTTTGGGGTTTGTTCAGCTTCCTGTATGCTTATCTTCACCTCTTTCATGATGTTAGGGAAACTTTCTTCCAACAACCCTTCAACAATTTTCTCTGTGTTTTTTATTGTCTCTTCCTGTTCTGGAATTCGGGTCACTTGCAAGTTATTCCTCTTCACAGTGTCCCACATAACTCTAAAACGGACCTTGGATTGTTTCATATTTGTTTCTGATTGTTCTTTTAGCATACTAGTATTAAGAGATTGATCTTCAAGCTCTCTAGTTCAGTCTTCCACGGTTTCTAATCTATTCCTTTGCCTTTTCAATGCTTGTCCACTTGTGAAATCTTAGTATTAATCTTCGGGATTTCTAATGGCAGGGTTTGTATTGTCTCAAACTTCGCATTTATTTTGTCTGTTTCTTCTTGTAGTGTTTTCCTGAATTCGCCTCACGTTTTTTCTGTGTTCTCCTGGCTTTTCTCCATCTTTCTGTCAATCCTTTGAAGGTCCCTAAACATAATTGTTTTCAGTTTGTTCCATTACTTTCCTTCCTCAGACATGTTCTCTGGCTCTACATTAGTCTGAGTCATTCTCTCATTTCTTCTTGTGAGCTAAAATTGTCTGTTGTCTCCAGAATATTGTAGTATTGTCAGATTTGTGTTCATTGGTGTTTGCATGTTGATGTATTCTTAAGCTTTCACTAACCGTCTCCTGTGGGTGTAATTAAAAGATGGAAGCCTGTGCCCCATTTTTTTGTTTTCTGTTTGCCATTCATATACATTCAGTTTAGGGTGGCTTTGGCTAGTGTTGGCTGCTGTCTGTCATTGATCAGGTGGTATAAGAGTATTGGTATTGGCTCTTCCCAAGCCACCTTCTGTTGCCAAAACTGGTCACAAAAGTTCAAGATGGTCATGCTACGTCTGGTCAGCCATTCACACACACACACATACACACCCTCTCTCTCTCGCTGGCCCTCCTCAGCTTCTCCCAGCAAGCACTCAGTCCACTTCTCTAACCTTCCCTTGGAAGTTCAGAGGTCCAGGATTTTCATCTGTGTCTGCTTCATTTGGTCTCTCGGATCTTTGCTGTCGGGGGTCTGCATAGTCGCCATCTTGCCGGAAGTACTTCGCTCGCCTACTTTCTGAATTTCTAATGCGTTCCCTTCAGAACTGTCACTAACCCAACTACAGGGACACCTCCAATCACTGGTTTCATCTGTGCACTCTGTAAGCTGATGCTGTTTTCATAGTCACTAATGTCAAATATTTTCTGGTGTTTTAGCTATAACACTATGATAAATAGTATACAAATACTAACCAATATCAATAACTTATGTGAGAATGAAGTAGAAATTAAAGAGCAAGAGGAAAACTCAAAAAAACCTTTGCTCCATCACTAATAATAGTGACTACTGTAATTCAGTGTAGAAAGAGTCTACAAAACTATTTTGTTAGTACTGATACTATCTAAGAAATTTGACATTTATGCAATTTACAGCTATGTGTATTACTTAACACTCTGGGACCCTGAGGGTTACTAACAGTCCTGGGGTGGCGCTGTGGGTTCATGCGCCAGACTGCAAAGCCGTTTGAACTGCAAGGTCGGGGGTTCAGACTCACCAGCTGCTCCTCGAAAACACTACACAGGGTCGCTATGGGTCGGAACCAACTCAATGGCACTTCACAACAACAACAACAACAAGGGTTACTAAGAGTTCTGTCTGGTGGAGGAGGCCCATGGGGGAGAGGGTATGACATTTTGAGTTAATGCAGTGGATGG